TGCCAGAAGGGCGGTGCTGGGGTAGTGATGGTCATGGGCAGGGGGGAGTCGTTCAGAAGCTGACTTGTGGAGTTGATAAACACATTCCTCTCCCTGCTTCCTAAGGCCAGGGCTTGGCCTCTTTCCACTCGCTTCCAAGGTTCCTTCCTGAGAGACTGGCTGTGCCAGCTACCCTCTCCCAGGCCTGCTCCGGATGCGGAACAGGAATTTGGCTGGGCTTAAGTGTCTGCCAAACCAAGGGAACAATTCTAGGCCTCTTTGAAGGCCAGTGACCACTGCCCACAAGCTAAGAACATTCCAAAAATGGCTGGGGGAGGGGTGAGGAAGGGGGGAAGGTGAGGGAAGGCAACCAAGTCCCGGCTTGTTAGGATGTGGACGATCTTGCTTAATTTCTGGCTAAGACATAGTGGTGGAGTTGATTTACCCCAGGGGTTGCAGGCAAAGGATCTTAAGGAGCTCAGCAGACCCAGTGTAAGAAAGCAGGTCCTGATAGGAAGTGACAGGCTGGGGAGCAAGCCCTTATCTGTCTAACGAGACAGCCCCCGACTCAGATTATTGTCATGTGCAAATGCAGGCCCGTTGCTCTTTCTAACTTTGTAAGAGAAAGTGGAAATCCCAATTTTAAGCAGTTTTCTGGTTCCTGAAACAATGTACAAAACAAAGGCCCTTCTTCAGGGTTTTGCTCTCAGGCAGTTTGAAACTCCTGATTTAAAGCCCTAGCAAAAGGTGTCCTCTTTCCTGTACTTTTCTGTCGCCAGTCCTCCCATCTCAATCTGTAAAACCATGTTGAAAATTAGTCCAGGTGCTTTTGACCAGTGGCTAGATGTCTACGGGGAAGGGACTTCATGGAGAGTGAAAGGGCTTGCATTAGTTTCCTATGCTGCTGTAATAAAACTCTTGCCGTGGAGTCGATTCCGACTCATAGTGAACCCTATAGGACAGAGCAGAACTGCTTCATAGGGTTTCCAAGGAACAGCTGGTAGATTCCAACTGCCAACCTTTTGCTTAGCAGCCAGAGCGCACCATAGCTCTCAACCACTACAACATAATGGCTTGGACACTCAAGTTCATTCTCTTACAGTTCTGTAGGTCAGTTTGACACGGGTGTTACTGGGCTACAATCAAGGTGTCAAGTTGATTCCGACTCATAGTGACCCTAGGGGACAGAGTAGAACTGCCCCATTGGGTTTCCAGGGAGTGGCTGGTGGATTTGAACTGCTGACCTTTTGGATAGCAGCCAGAGCTCTTAACCACTGCACCACCAGGGCTCCTATCCAGGGGTCAGCAGGGTTATATTACTTCCTGGAGGCTCTAGGGGAAATCCCATCTCCTTGCCCCTTCCCAGTTCTAGAGGCCACTGCATTCCTTGGGTTCATGGCTCCTTACAACATCTTCAAAGCCAGCAATGGGGGTGGAGTCCTCAAGTCAAATCTCTCTCACTTACAGCCAGAAAAGTTTCTCTACTTTAAAGGATTCATATGACTAGATTAGGTCCATCCAGGTAATCTGGGATAATCGCCCCATCTTCAAGGTCTATAATTTTAATGACATCTGAAAAGTCCCTTTTCACAAGTTCCAGCGATTAGGGCATAGACCAGGCTCCTCCCTGAAGTTTTGGATTTTTGAAAGTTGCCCTATCTTTTTAAATTTAGTCTTCTAGAGGACTCAATATGGTTTAAAGGAGAAAAGATGGGGACAACAGCCTGCTCACCCGCACAGGTAGAATCAGTCCCTATCCTCCAAGGGTGCTAGGGTGACACAGGTCACAGGTGGGTCTCCCTCCACCTACCAAAACTGAGGTTGAAAGTCAAGCCTCCCCGATCCTGTTCTTGGGCAGTTGACTGTTTGAACATAGTAAAAGAGTGGTAAGTCAACAGGAATAAATGTTTTGGATTTTTGGCTCCTTCCGCCAACCCCCTAAAAGAAGTCCTGGGGGCAGACATTAATGATAAACAGTTTATCTTTCTTTATAACCTGGCCTGCTCTCCCTCTGTTCGGACCTTTTCTCTGGGGGATCTGTTTCTCGCAGAGGTCCTTCAGGGCAGCAATGCCCAGCCCTTCCAGCCACCGTAAGTCTTAGCTGCCTACCGGTCTGGTTACGGTGCCGTCTGCTTCCCTGGGCTCAGAAGCGGCAGTTTCTGTTAGCTGCCCTCCCTGTGGAACTCCCCAGCTGGGATTGTTATAGGAGCGAAAGACTGGCAAACATTCCTCCCCCTCCCCAGGGGCAGCAAAGGCTCCCGGGCCTGCCTCAAGGGTGTGAGTCAACATCACAATATCTGAGGCATGAAAGGAAGGAGTGGGATGGCAAGACTGACTTGGAATTCAGCTCCACAGGGTTCAGGCTCAGCTAGCTGGAAGCACAGGCCGAATTTAACAAGAACTCATTTATTCCTGTTGACTTCCCACTCTTTTACTTGGGTTCAAACAGTCAACTGCCCAAGAACAAGATGGGGGAGCCTTGACTTTCAACCTCAGTTTTGGTAGGTGGAGGGAGGTCCACCTGTGACCTGTGTCACCCCAGTACCCTTGGAGGATAGGGACTGATTCTACCTGTGCGGGTGACCAGGCTGTTCTCCCCATCTCTTCTCCTTTAAACCATATTGATTCCTCTAGAAGACTAAATTTAAAAAGATAGGGCAACTTTCACTCAACTGATATCTATGAAAATAATAATCAAAATCAGTAAGAGTGCAGCTGCCCAGTCTGAAGGTTTTGCAGGGGGTTGGGGTGCATTGCTTCGCAGCAAATCCTGCACCTCTTCCCGCCCCCGTTACACAAACACACAATTAACTACAACCTTAAGTCATGGGGCTAGAGGGAGACAAGGCAGAGTAGCACGATGATTATGCACAGAATGCCCAGGTTTGAATCCTAGCTCTTCCATTTACTATGTGTTTCCTTGGGCAAATTACTTAATTTCATTTGCTCTTGTCCTAAGCAATGATGGAGCCCTGGTGGCACAGTGGTTAGGAGCTATAGCTACTAACCAAAAGGTCAGCAGTTTGAATCCACCAGCTACTCCTTGGAAATCCTATGGGGGCAGTTCTACTCTGTCCTATAGTGTCGCCATGAGTCGGAATCGACTCGACGGCAATGGGTTTGATTATTTTTTGTTTGTTTAAGCAATGATAATTACACCTACTTCACAGGGTTGTTATGAGGATTAATACCTGTAAAGACTGAGTAGTACCTGGGCATAGACATAGCAGAGCATAATATGCTACATACTAAAAATATATTAAGTCCATTTTACTAAGTAGCTATACTTTTCTGCTAGAATATAGAATTACATTGTCAAGATATTCAATATGAAAAAAGGTCTAGGGAATTCAACGGTCAAAGCTGTTGGTTTACATTAATAGTAATACACTTTCTTCTTGCTGTTGTTAGTGGCTGTTGAGTCGATTCCGACTCACAGCGATCCCACGTATGGTAAGTATATACTTTCTAGACTAGAACAAAGGAGGCGACAGTTCATAAGAATTGGCCCCTCTAAAAGCATGAGCTCTTTCTGCGTTCTTTTTAGTTATATTTAAGGCCCCTCACCTGGGCGGTTTCACAAGGAGTCAATGCATTTTATTTGGAACCAACATTTATAAGGAAGATCTCATCCAGCCCCTTGGATAAATTTGCCTCTTAACAGTAAACAGAATTCGAGATGCCAGCCAATAGATCATGGCGGTCTTCTGTCCCTTAGGTCAGTTCTGGCTGCCACAGTTTGAGAGGGATAGCAAGGCTGATGAGGGAACTGCAAACATGACAAATGAGGACTGTTGGAAAGAATCTCAGATGTTAGGCTGGGATGGCAGGACACAGGAGCCATGATAGCTGGTGTCACACAATGTGAAGGGCTGTCACCAAAGAAAGAACACATACGAAACTCTGTTCTCAGGACTTTATTATCTGATTAAATTATCACAATAAACCTGTGGAAGTACACAAAACTATGGCCAGTAAATAGGGAGGGGAGAGATAAGGTGACTTGTCCAAATCCCATCATCTGTGGTTGTTCCATCCAAGTCAGGCTGACCGATACTGAAGGCCAAAGTCTTTCAGCTGCATTTCACTACCGCAATAACATTATACGTCTATAAGGCAGGGCTGTTTTTCCGTATTTACAGCTGTAAAAAATAATGTGGGAATTGGGTAGTGGTGTACTGTCTTCAAAGATGTCCAAGCAAACACTTGATGACTATGGTCAAAGATATTAAAAAGGTAATTTATTCATGTCCCTGGGTGTGCAAGTGGTTAACACACTCAGCTGGTAACCGAAAGGTTGGAGGTTCAAGTCCATCCAGAGTCACCTTGGGAGAATGGCCTGGTGATCTACTTCTGAAAAATCAGCCCTTGAAAACCCTATGGAGCACAGTTCTACTCTGACACACGTGGGGTTGTCAAGAGTCTGAACTGACTCCACAGCAATTGTTTTTTTTGGTAAATCACTCATGCCTTTTTAAGAAGTGGACATGGATAATCCATGAAGCCACCGGGTTTCTATACTTTTGGGTCAGATATATACTCTAGAACGTGATCCTCCTGCTTATTTGTCACTTCCTTTTCCATCCCACCTCCCTTTTCCAATCAAGCAGATAGTCTGTCCTGGGACCATGCCCCAAAGGAGGGATAGGGTGGCAGTTTGGATAACAGAAATAGCCTGTTATTCTCTCTGGTTGTCAAGTCTAATTTTTGACTAAGTTTACTAAGGAGATTATGTTACCTTCCTCTCAGGCAAATCTGTAAAGATTAGGAGAAGAAACAATTATACCATCTCCCCTGCCCTACCCCTCCATACCTTGCCACCAGGAAAACCCAAACCCCGGAATGGAATGTAGATTTAGAACTAATATCCCACCATATTGAGGGCTTGATATAGAAATCAGGCTGAGTTTTTGAAAATAAAGTTATACTTCTTACACACCTGAGTGTATGAACAGAGACTATTTTAAGCTTGGGAGGTGGAGGGTGTGGCCTCTGACCAACAAGTAATGTAAATGGTTGCAAACCTGACGTTTTTCTGTCCTCTGCTGCCCCTATGTGGACGGGGATGGAAACAACACCTCAAGGATTAGCCTGCCGCAGGAGCATGAAATTGGATTTAGGAGAAACGGCGCCGCTGTAAGTACTGGTGGAGGCTTAAAAGCTGGTGGAAGCTTATTACCCATTCGAGGGAGTCAGGGATTGTTGCCAACCCCAGCAAGGATGGTGCTTCCAGGGGAGAAGTACAGAACTCTTTCAAACTGCCAATGACTTCAAGAGGCTCTATTCTTGTCCACCATCTTTATTTTTCCTGCAGACACCTGGATCCAGCAAGCGAGTAATCATCTAAATACTTCCCATCATGCACCTCTGTATTTTTTGGCCACTAGCGGCACCCACAGGCACAAAGCCAACCTTCCCGCTCGTACTCTTCCTATGTTTGGAGTAACAAGACTGTGTGTGGGTTTCTCCCTCTGCTTTCACAGTTTAACACCATCTCTTCACCGTCCGTCTGTATGCTGCTGTTTCCATAAGACTCTACACCATCACAGCCATGCGTGCTGCATCCCTGCTAAACAGGCACAGGACAGAGATGGCTCTTCCGTTTTAATAAGCAAGGGAGGGAAACACGTGGGCACAAAGAGGGGAAGGGGCTGTGAATTGCTGGGTGTACCCTGACTGGAATCCAGTGGTATTCGAATCCCGGAACCATCTTCCGCCTACAGACTAGCTGCTTCCTTCCCTGGTCAACCCCCTCCTGAGCACCCCCAACACTACCCAACTTCACTCCCCACCTCCTCCCAAAAAAGAGGAACAGTGGCTTGGGGCCTAGCCCCAGCCTTTCTTGCACCTGCCTTCAGGAGGACATGGGTTAGCTGGGTAGCCTGCTACCTACCACCTCCTCTCTCCGGCTGGGAGCCAGGGACCCACAGGCCTGGCCTGACCTCCCTTTCCCTCCCCTCATGCCTGCAGACCCTGCCGCAGCCTGCGGTCCAGGGCCAGGAGCTGCCTCAAGAAACCCCGGTTGGGGATGATGCCTCGGTGGTCCTTGACTTTCTTGATGGCCTCCACAAGGGTGAGGTGGTGGTACAGCATGAGGTAGGCCAACACCAGGGTGGCAGACCGGCTGACTCCCACAGCACAGTGCACCAGGATCTTCCCTGCGGGGACAGACACACGAGACAGCTGTGAGGGCATTGGAGGTGGGCTGGAGGAGGGAGGGCTTCATGGACAGGTGAGGAGGGAAACAGGGAAGTAGAGGTGCCTGTAGACAGGACGGAGCTAAATGGGTAGAGGCCTAGGCGGAATGAGATGATGAACCTGCACTCACTGAGTGTCCGCAAATCTGGAAAGGGCTCAGAGGTGGAGACACATCACTATTGTAAAACAGAGCTTTGCACACAGTAGGGACTCAGTGCATAGTTGCTGAGTGAATCAATAGAAAATACTCTTGAGTCTCCTCTGGCCCCTTTTCAGTCTCCCCCACCTTTCCACCCAGTTGTTTCTGTCAACCATTTATTTGGGGAGTGTTTAATATATTTTTATTTATATTTTTCCTGATTACTAAAACAAGACATTAAAAAAACAAACGAACAACAACAAAAAAGATAAACAAAACCAGAAACCAAGCCTGTTGCTGCTGAGTGGATTCCGACTCATAGCGACCCTATAGGAAGAGTAGAATGGCCCCATAGGCTTTTGAACTGCCGACCTTTTGGTTGGCAGCCGAGCTCTTAACCTCTGAGCCATCAGGGCTCCAAAACAAGACATGCTTAAGGTAAAAGTAATGAGAAAATATAGAAATATGTAAAGGAGCAAAAAATTAAAAGTAAATCACCCATAATTTCACCACCCAAAAGAAAGTTGCCACTCTTAAAATTTTGAATTATTTCCTTCTTGTCTTTTTGTGTATTGACTTAAAAAGAAAAACAAAACACATGGTTGAGAGAATACTGTAGAAACAAGTTGGTATTCTTTCTTCTGTTACACTACATACTGAGCCTTTTCTCCAGTCATTAAAGTCTGTCTCCATACTTGAACCCTTGGGCTTTTCCCTAACTCAATGTCCGATGTTCCTTCCCTCCTTCTTGCTTTCCCTGCCTACCTCCTGGCCGGCTCAGCGCCCGATGGATGAAGTCAGCAGCCGTCTGGAAGTGGATGCTCATGTCAAAGGCCGGCGAGTCATGGGCCTCGACGCCCAGGTAGCGGATGCCCAGGCCCTCGTAGGCCTCAGGTGTGCCTCGCCACTTGTTGTGTGAGGCGTTGAGGACGTGGGTGATGCCCAGCCGACGAAGCTCCCGGTGGTTGTTAGCTATGTCCCTGCATTGAGTGGAAAGGTTAGAGGGAGGGTGGGAAGAGTCCTTGTCTACCCCCTGTCAGCTCCCTAGATAATATCATTGGCTCCAGGCCTTTAACTGGGGACTGATGACCTCATGCAGAACCTGCACATAGACCAAGAAGCAGTTGTTTGAACAGAACAAGGGGATACTGTGGTTTAAAATCAGGAAAGGTGTGCATCAGGGTTGTATCCTTTCACTATACCTATTCAGTCTATATGCTAAGCAAATAATCCAAGAAGCTGAACTATATGAAGAAGAACGCGGCATCAGAATTGGAGGAAGACTCATTAACAACCTATGATAGGCATATGACACAACCTTGTTTGCTGAAAGTGAAGAGGATTCAAAGTACTTACTGATGAAGATCAAAGATTCCAGCCTTCAGTATGGATTATACATCAACATAAAGAAAACAAAAATCCTCACAACTGGACCAATAAGCAACATTATGATAAATGGAGAAAATATTGAACTTGTCAAGTATTTCATTTAACTTGAATCCACAATCAACACTCATGGAAGCAGCAATCAAGAGATCAAATGATGTACTGCACTGGGCAAACTGCTGCAAAAGACCTCTTTAAAGTGTTAAAAAGCAAAGATGCCACTTTGAGGACTAAGGTGAGGCTAACCAAGCCATGGTATTTTCAATTGCCTCATATGCATGCAAAAGTTGGACAATGAATAAGGAAGATGAAGAAAAATTGATGCCTTTGAATTACAGTGTTGGCAAAGAATATCGACTATACCACGGACTTCCAGAAGAATGAGCATATCTGTCCTGGAAGAAGTACGGCCAGAATGCTCCTTTGAAGCGAGGATGGTGAGACTTCATCTCATGTACTTTGGACATGTTGCCAGGACGGCCCTGTCCTTGGAGAAGGACGTCATGCTTGCCAAAGTAGATGGTCAGTGAAAAAAAGAAAGATCCTCAATGAGATGGATCGACCCAGTGGCTGCAACAATGGGTTCAAACACGGCAACGATTGTTAGGATGGCGTGGGACACAGGCCGCGTTTCCTTCTGTTGTACGTAAGGTAGCTATGAGTCAGAATTGACTTGACGGCAGCTAACACCAACAACAAAGAAGGAAGGTTGGAAGAATGAAGGAACCAAGATGGGCAAGGACCTGGAGTCTTGTCCTGTGAGGAATGGTTGAGAGTATTGGGGATTTTCACCTGGAGAAGAGAAGACTAAGGGGATGGGGTGAGCAATAGCCATAATGAAATCTTGAAAGATGCTCTGAGGAAGTGGGATTTTACTTGATCTGTAGGCTCCTGAAAGGTACAAGTAGGATCAAAGGATTGACACTCCAGGGAAACAGATTTCAGTGCCAGGTAGAGAAATGTGTTCTAACAGTGAAATCTCCCTGAAGAAAGACTGGACCACCTTGGGAGAGAGTGATTTTCCTGTCACCAGGTTATTTAGACACAGAGGAGAGGAGATCAGCCTTCAGAATGGCTGTTGCAGAGGGGATCTGAACATCTGGTGAGTTGTTGGATCATCTCACACTTAATATTCCTGCTAACCTTGAGATTCTATGCTTCCGGCACTTGCTCCCACACCTAGCTCCTCCATTACTTTTACACCCAGAATCCTTGTATGTTTTACCAGTTATTCCATGTCTCACATTTACCCTGTTGTATGATGTCACCTTCAGGTGTTTGGCTCATATCCTTCAGCTTAGTGGCACACACCCCTCAGGCAACGTGGTCATACCTCGGAGCAAACATCCTGTCCCGTGCAAACTCCCTGAGTAGAAAGAGCACTCAACTTGAACCTCCAAGTCCTGGCTCTGCCACTTACGACCCACATGACCTTGGGCCAGTCACAACTTCTCTGAGCTTCAGTTTCCTCATCTGAAACCTGAGGATAATGCTACCTACCTCACAAGGCTGTTGTGAAGATTAAGAGAGAGAATGCATGTGAGAAAGTCCCTGTGTACTGTGAAGCCCCTGAGAGAGAGAAGGGATTACTCTTCTATGAGTGCTCTTCTCACCATAGCCCCATCTTGCAGAGTCTTTGCGCACATTGCTGTTTCACTCCATCTCAAGAGGAACCCCTTTAGTTTACTACCCACTGACCTGGCTCCCAATTACTGCCTCTTTCTAGAGTCATAGCACAACAGATGGAAGGTCAGAGAAATCATCTCTTGTGCCTGATGCATAGCATTGGCGCTCAACAAATATTTGCTAACTGAATGACATTATTACTTGAACAGAGTCTTTCTGTCCAGAGTTGGATACACCAACAAGTCTGCCCAAATTCCCCCAAACCCTCCAGCCTCTACTCTCTGCCCAAATACCCCCTCCCCTCAATCCTCAACCTGGGCCAAAGACAACTCAGTGCCTTTCTGTCACACTTCTCCTTTCTCCTTGCGCGCGCGCGCGCACGCGCATGCGCGCGCGCACACACACACACACACACACACACACACACACACACACACACACGCACGGGCACACACGCTCAGCTGTGGCCCCAGTCTGCCAGGTACGTACTGGTCTCCGAGGTAGAGGCCTGGCCAGACCTCATCGGCGTGGTTACAGGCTGTCTTGCCTGTGTAGAGGAGTCTCTCCAATTCAAAGACATTGACGAAGGGATGCTGAACAGCTGGCATCTCCTCCAGGGGCCCTCTAGTGCGAACAGGAGACCTCGAGCTACTCCGGGAGAAGCGAGCCATAAAAGTCATGGAGGCCCAGAGCCAGTTGCCAGGGCACATCCTAGAGGCAGCAGAAACGGTGGCAGCTGTAGGGATGGCTGTGGTGGTGATGGGCTCGGTCACCAGGCAGCTGTTACTGGAAGAGGAAGGGATGTGAGACCCACCTGCGTGAGTCCAGAGCAGCTGTTTCCTTTCCTACCAAGTGGGCTGGTCCCTGGGGAGAAGATCCTCACGGGAAGGAAGGTAAGTCTGGCCCTACGGAGGCCTCCAGGGTTGCCCTTTCTTTCAAGCTGCGGCAGCTCCTTTAGCTCTGCTCTTTGGCTGTGTCATGCAAGGAGGTGGGAGAGTCACATGTCCTTGTTTACGGGGAGAGGGAGCTGCTCAGCTGCTGGGTTTTTGCTCTACTCCCTCCTCACCCCGCCTCCCAATACACAGATATAAACATACACACAAACATTTGGTATTTGGGTGCAGTGCCTATTGCTGGGGCTCTTGCCAACTGGAATCTGGGTCTCATCTGCTTGGGGCTACAGGCAGACAGCCTAGGGAGCTGGATGGCGTTGGGGCAGCTTTGGACCCATCCAGAGAGAATAAGCAGGACAGCGGCCGCTGAGGCCATGACATATGCCAGGCTTGCCTCCTCAGAGCCAGCAAGCTGGGCTGCCTTAACCTGCTCCTGCCTGCCACTGCCTCAGAGACCAGCCAGGAGTGGCAAGTGTGTGGTGGAGGACGGTAAGCGGGGGAGGGGATAGCAATTAAGAAGAGTAAGCTGCTGAAAAATACTTGCTGAATGCCTGAGCAAATGGAAGAAGGTGCCTCCTTTGATCAGCATGAGAGCAAATCTCATCTCTAATGTGAAAATTTCTGAGTCTAAGCAGAGCTGGAGTGACATGTGTATGTGTGTGGGGAGGGTGTAGGAGGGGGTCGGGCAGAGAAGGAAACAGAAGAATGAGGGATCTTGCTAGACCCCGGGTCTCAGAGGCTCAGAATTACCATTCGTGTTGCTGTTGGCATCAAGTGACTCTACACAGAACTCTTGGTTGGCTACCAGGGACTTAGCTGTTGTGTCTCAGACTCCCTGAGAGCAGCTGGCACTTCAGAAAGTGGGCGCGAGCTTGGGGCTGCAGACCTGAGCCGGGAAGGTCGGCTTTTGAGACTTGCGCTGGGACCCCACCCCTCCTCCCTGGCACCTATGATCCCGCCTATTTGAAAGGGTGAGCTGGCCGGCAGAATTCTCCTCTCACTCCCTTCCCTGCCTTCTGGCTGAGGGGACCTCAGACGACTGTCCAGCAGTGAGAGGCCATCTTTGTCCATGCCCACACCCTGCCTCCCCATAGCCCGCTCACCCAGGGCCCAGCTCTGCCTTTCCCCAAGGGCCAGGAGAGAGCAAGCACTGACAGAGCATAAGAAGCAGGGGCGTTAGGATCAGGACTGGTGAGGGCAGGTTGGATCTTAGGGTGTTTAGGGAGAGAGATTTTTTTCAACGGCTGGGTCAGAGGGAGCACAGAAATATAGCCCTGTGGCCACCCCCACTACCACGACCACCACCATCATCATCACCTTGTCTCCTCTGGGCTAAAGACCCCGACCCTTCATCCGCGACCCTGCTGCCTAGGTGATGAGGAACGTAAGAGGAAGCGGGAGGGAGACCAAGTCCAGGAAGGAGCTCCGTGGGACCCTTTGCCTTGCAGGCGGAGAAGCCCCATTCGGTGCCGGGATACACCCCTCGGCATTCTCCAATCCCATCCGCCGCCTTTCAGGGGCCCTCGTCTGCCACCTCTCCCTCGGTCTGCTGTCGCGGTAGTAACAGGTTCATGGCGTCGCCCCAGCCCTTGCCAACGCAGACAGCGCGGTGCTGAGGGTGCGGGGCGGGCGCCAAGGAGAGCAGGCTCGCTGGCTCGGCGCGATGCCCCCTCCCCGTCCCTTCCTCCCCCAGCCTCTCCCTGGCCTCGCGGGCCCCCCGCGGCCCCCTACCTTGTGCGAGCGGCGCGCGGGATCTCAGTGGCGAAGGCGGCTCGCAGGCGCAGGCAGCCCCACCGCCATGACTCTCTCCCGCGGCTCCCGCTGCGGCCCCCACCCCGCCGCCGCCGCTGCCGCCGAGGCTGCCACTGCCAGAGACCGGGTGATGGATTAGCATCTATTTTTAAGCCATGACACACACGTCGAAGCAGGTTTCACATCACTGTGTGTGTTGGTGACACGCAGGGACCCAGACTCCTTCCCAGTGGTCCGAGTCCACACGCAGCGCGGGCTCCCCTATGATCCCTCCCCGGCAGCCCTCCCGTGTTTACAGATCAGACAGAGCCCCACACGGCTAGAGCAGCACTACTAGGCATATAGATAAGGGAGTGTGTGTGTGTGTGTGTGTGTGTGTGTGTGTGTGTGTGTGTGTGTTCTGTAGCTGTTCCAATTACAAAGCCGATTGCCTAAAGATTACATTATGCAAGTAGTCCCAGACAGTTTCTTACACACACACACTTCTCCCAGACAGAATTAATTACATAGAAGTGATTATGCAAGCTCACATTTACTTCCTCATCCTCAAGAAATTCATGTCATAAATAACAGAATTCAGTAACCTGTTCGAGCACTTACTATATCCCCTTGTACAGCAGGGTGTGACTAGCAGGCAGCTAACAACCGTAAGGTAACCATATTCTAGGGGCTTCAGGGTATCATAACTCATTTCTCCTCCCCACAGGTCTTTGAGGTTGTCGTTGCTGTTAGTTGCCACTGAGTTGATTCTGACTCACTGCGACCCCCGTGTGTGCGGAGAACTGTTCCACAGGTTTTTCAAGGCATCCTTATTTTAGGGAGGAGGACAGGAGGCACAGAGTAGCTAAGTAATTTACCCAGGCCAACCAGCTAGCTGCTGGCAGAGCTGAGTTTCAAACCCTTCTGATGTGGGCCTCACACACAACAGAGAATGCAGGATGGGCTTCATTCAGGAAGCTGTTTCCACCAGCTCAGCTGAAAGTGACCCTCACTTTCCCCCAACTCCTGAAGAAATTAATACCTAGTGTCACGTTCTGCCTTCTGATGACATTTGTCTTCACTTGCTTTTCTATTCTGATTGAAAGCACCTTGCAGGCAGGGACTGTGTTGCCTCCCCAGTGCCAAGCATTGTGTGATTCGGGAGGTGGGGGAGAGGAGGTCTCAATGTGTACTGTTAGTGGATGCTGTTGAGAACCAGGAGGACTCCGACTGTCTCCCAGGAGTAAAGCAGGAGGTGGATAAGGTCAGGCTGGACCTAGGCTAGGATGTGAAGATGTTATCAACTGTAGCTGATATCAGGATTGACCAAATTCCTGGCAGGGATGGCAGATCAGGCTTTGATCTTTGGGTCAGAGAAAATACTGGCCAAAAAGACACAATCCCTGGGTCAGTCCTGTGGGAGAGAAAAGATTCCATCACAGGCTGCCATCTAAGATTAATTTACCTCCCAGCCTTTTATTCTGCAGAGAAGCAAACTCAGTTCCTTTACATTTACCTGTGCTTTCTTGGTATGGCAGTTTGCATGAAGAAATTAAATCATCATCATTTTAAACAAATACTTGACATGGGAAATTTGAAATTTTAATTTGTAGATCCAGGGCAATCCAGTTAAAAAAAATTATCATGAATCAAATTGTGAAAGAGAACATATTATCAGACTAAGCTCATTTTAAGTGATAAAGTCTTTCAGGTTGATCGGTTAAGAGGATACCGTAAACGAAATGGATCTGAATATTTAGCAAGACTTCTGTTTCAACCCTGCATTTTTTTTTTTTTTTTGTCAAAAACCTGGGAAAATATTTAAAGCACACATGGACAATACGGACAAACGTTTATGGATAACCAAAGAGCTGTCCATGATCCACATTTCCATGATGAACTTTTCCAGGAGTCAACCTACAGCCCAAGTGGCCTAATATTTTTCTCAGTAACTAGGTTTATTTAGTTTCCATGTGACACCAAACTGACCCAATGTGTGCGGAGTAGAACTGTTCCACAGGGTTTTCAAGGCTGTGATCTTTCAGAAGCAAATCACCAGGCCTGTCTTCTGAGGTGCCTCGGGGTGCTAACTTTCAGCTAGTAGTTGAGTGCTTAACCATTTATACCACCCAAGGAACCCCAAGGCTGAAAAGGAGGGAAGAGAATGGAAGAATGAACTAGCAGGGAGAAGGTAGTGGGGAAGGCAGGACAGAAAAGGGGAGAAAGGAAAAAGAAATAGCATGTATTGACAATTTTTTACCTGCCAATTCCTTGCGCTTTCACATATATCATCTCAATCCTACCAGTTTCTTCCTGTCCCATTGCTGGTGAGGGGATTTTGACTCATAGTGACCCTATAGGACAGGGTAGAACTGTTCCATATGGTTTCCAAGGCTGTAATTTTTATGGAAGCAGACTGTCACCTCTTTCTCCGTGGAGCAGCTGGTGGGTTAGAACCGCTGACCTCTTGGTTAGCAGCTGAGCACTTAACCACTGTGCTATCAGGGCTCTTACCAGCCTCCTAAGGGGTTTTATATGTATATACATACATACATATATATTTTAATAATTTATTTTATGTTGTTAAAAATATACACAGCAGAATATACACCACTTCAACAGTGACACTGATTATGTTCTTCAAGTTTTGCAACCATTTTCTCCTTTTCCAAATTGTTCCTCCCCCATTAACATAAAGTCACTGCTCCCCTAAGCTTCCTATCTAACCTTTCGAGTTACTGTTGTCAATTTGATACCATATAGATAGCTCTTTAAAAGAGTACAATACTCAAGGCAGACATTCTTAACCTATTAAGCTAAACTATTGTTTGGTTTTAGGAGCCCTAGTAGTGCAATGGTTAAGCACTTGGGTGCTAACGGAAAGGCTGGCAGTTCACTCTACCAGTGGCTCCTCAGGAGAAAAGAACTGGCGATCTACTCCCATAAAGATTTCAGCCTAGGAAACTACGGGGCAGTTATACTCTATCCTATGGGGTCGCTAGGAGTCAGAAACAACGTTGTTTGGTTTAAAGAAGACTTCAGGGGATATTTTTGGTTTAAGGATGAAGGTTTAAAGATTATCTCAGGACAATAGTTTGGGGTTCACCCAGCCTCCACAGCTCCAGAAAGTCTGGATTCCATGAGAATT